GCACCTTCTCCGATGGTTCTGCCGCTGTGGCTGAGACCGCCGCTGCAGTGCAGTTCCGTCCAGGGAAGGGCCGTCGCCCCAAGGCTGGGCACGGCGGAGGAGGTGGGGGTGCAGGTGGAGGTGGTGGTGGAGTCGGGTCGTCTAGTGGTGGAGCGGACGAGGGGACCCTGACAGGTCCAGCTGAGCAGCCGCCCCAGCAGCAGCAGCAGCAGCCGTAGCAGCCGCACCAACCGCAGCAGCCGCCGCAGACGAGGCAGGCGAGTGCCCTCCCGCCCGGGTGGCTTGGCGCTGATAGTGGTCGTGCGCGTGGTGGTGTGCCGGGTGGCGGTTCGGGAGGCGTGCGCTGTCAGTACCAGATCCAGACCGGTCCTCGCCGCCCGTCGCCCGACCTCACGGACTGGCACAGTTTGCTTAGTCATAGAGTTCAGATTTTTGACATGGACATGGATGCCATTGTTTCTGCCCTGCATATAATGTATGCTAATGATTCTAGTGTACTCCCCTCTTATTACTCCTTGTCGCCTAGTGTAGGTGTGCCTAGCTTAGCCTCCCCTGCTCCGTCAGGCGTAGGAGCTCCTGCTTTGTTTAGCCTTGGTGCTTCCGTCGTCGCCTCGTCGCCGGATGCCACTACTTTGCTTTCCTTCACCTTGGACTCTGGCGCTATCCGGTGTTTCTTCCGCGACTCCACTACTCTGACGTCACTTCCTGTTCCTGCTGCAGTTTCTCTTGCTGACCCCTCCGGCCGTCTAGTAGTCGCCCGCAGTTCCACCACCCTTCCCTATCCGGCAGTTCCTTCGGGCTCTCTCACAGGTCTGCATATCCCCTCGTTCTCCAAGAACCTAGTTGGTGTCGGCTACCTCCAGGACCTTGGCGTCATCACTACGTTCCCTGGTCACGAGCGGTATGCTGTCTCTACCGAGGCCGCCACTGGTGCCCCCCTGTCCACGTTCCCCCGGGACCCGGTGTCCGGCCTAATCACCCTGGACACCGTGACCCCCCCGGCTGGGGCGCCCCTTCAGGTCGCTGCGTCTACCCAGGTTGCTGCTGCCTGCTCCTATCGGTCCCTCACTCACCCGACTCTCCTTTGGCACCACCGCCTAGGTCACCCTGCGCTCCCGCGTCTGCGTCACATGTCTCAGCACGGTCTCGTCCTTGGTCTCCCTGGTTCGTTCCCCGCTTTTCCCTCCTCCCCCGCCCCACCTTGCACGCCTTGTGTCGAGGGTCGGCTTCGCCGTGCCCCTCACTCCTCCTCGTTTCCCCCTACTGCCGCGCCGCTGCAGACCCTGTACATGGACGTCTGGGGCCCCGCCCCCGTCCATGGGGCACGTCGAGAGTGCTACTTCCTCGTGCTTGTCGACGACTTCACTCGCTATACCACAGTCTTTCCCCTGGAGCGCAAGGCCGACGTGCCTAACGCTCTCATCCCCTGGCTTGTCTATGCCCGTGTCCACCGAGGTCTCCCTGTCTTGCGTCTTCACTCCGACCGTGGTGGCGAGTTTGCCTCAGGTGTCCTTGGTCGCTTCTGTCGTGCGGAGGGCATCACCCAGACGTTCACCCTGCCGGACTCCCCACAGAAAAAAATGGGGTCGCTGAGCGACGCATCGGTTTGGTCATGGAGGTGGCTCGCACCTCCATGATCCATGCCGGTGCACCCCATTTTCTGTGGTTGTTCGCCGTGCGCTACGCTGCTCACCAGCTTAACCTGTGGCCGCACCCCCAGCAGCCGCAGGTTTCGCCGACCCTTCTTTGGACCGGGTCTCCTCGTGTCGCGTCTGCATTCCACGTCTGGGGCTGCCTTGCTCACGTTCGTGTCTCTGGCACGGAAAAGCTCACTGCCCGCACCCTTCCCTGTGTCGTCCTAGGTTTCCCCCTTGACGCGTCTGACTGGCACTTCTACCACCCACCGTCTCACCGGTTCCTTCACTCTCGCGACGTCACCTTTGACGAGTCCGTCTCCTTCTACCGTCGCTTCCCCCACCGCGTTCCCCCTGTTACTCCCCCCCTGTTCCTGGTCACTCCTTTTCCGGTGGTCCCTGCCCCCCCCCCTCCCCCTCCCCATCCTGCCCCCTACGGTGTGTCCCACGTCACCCCTCTCCCGTCGGTTGTCCCGGTCGAGGAGTCTTCTGACTCTGGTGGTCCTGCGGCGCAGTCCTCGCCGTCTGCCCCTCCCTAGGTGTCTCCTCCTCCGCCACCTCTGCAGCCGCCGTCGCCTCTGCTGCCGCAGCCGTCGTCTCCTCCGCCGCCGTCGCAGCAGCCGTTCGTTGAGTCTGGGGTTGCTGGCGTTGGAGTGGGTACTAATCCCGGTGGCCCTTGGGGTGGTACCCGTGCTCGAGGTGTTTCGGGCTCTGGGGGTGTTCCTTCTGGGGGTGCAGGAGTGGAGTGTTCCGGTAGTAGTCGAGGAGCAGCTTGCGGTCCCGGGGTCGGTGTTGTACCGCCGCAGCAGCAGTCCCCGCCGGTGTCAGCCCTTCGCCTGCTCGGCCTTCCGTCCTGACCCTGCGTCTGTTCCTCTCCTGCCGTCTCCTCCTCTTCCCGTCTATGGCCCTGTGTTCCCTCCGCCGGACGCATCCCCGGCTCGTCTTCCCCCTCGCTCCCCCCTTGTGTCCCCTCCTCTGTCTCCTGACCGGACTCCTCCGTCTCACGTCTGGTCTCGCCGTCCCTCCCGTGCTCGACCTGTCTCCCCTGTCTCGCGCTCTCACCCTATGTTGCTTTGTTCCCACGCGTCTCATCCTCCCCTTCTCCCGTTGCCCCCTCCGTCCTCCCTTGTCGTTGCCCCCCCCCCCTCCGTCTAACTACCTGCGTGCCGCCCGTCCTCTTGTTCCTCGGGTCCTTGCCTCTCTCGTTACTGACCCGTCTGTTCCAGTTTCGAGTCTTGACGCCCTTGTCGCTGAGGTCGCTGACTTCGCCTCTACCCGCCACCTTGACTACGCCACAGCCCTGGTCTCTGACCCTGCCTGTCCTCCGTCTGTCGGGGGTGCTCCTGCCCTTGGCAATGACATCCTGGAGGACCGTCAGTTCGAGCTTGCTTTCCTGTCCGAGGCAGCTCCCCATCTCTGCTCCATGCTGCTAGTCCCTGAGGGTGACCCTGACGCTTTCGACATCCCGACCCCTCGCACTTACGCTGAGGCGACCTCGGGACCCTGGGCCTCCCAGTGGATAGCTGCCATGGAGTAGGAGATGGCATCTTGGAGATCCACCGGCACCTTCGTCGACGCAGCTCCCCCGCCTGGGGTGAACGTAGTCGATGGCCGCTGGCTCTTCAAAGGGAAGCGCCCTCCTGGAGAGCCGCATGTGTTCAAGGCGCGCTACGTGGCTAAAGGCTTCAGTCAGCGTGAGGGGGTGGACTTCTTCCAGACCTTCGCTCCGACCCTAAAGATGACTACTCTTCGGGTTCTGCTACACCTAGCAGCTCAGCGTGACTACGAGCTTCACTCCCTCGACTTCTCCACTGCCTTCCTTCAGGGCAGCCTACACAAGCAGGTCTACCTGCGTCGCCCTCAGGGCTTTACTGGCACCTTCCCTCCTAGGACCCAGTGGCTCCGGCGGCGTCCCGTCTACGGCCTGCGGCAGGCTCCCCGTGAGTGGCACGACACACTGCGTGCTACCCTTGCCGACCTGCAGTTCTTTCCGTCCTTTGCAGACCCCTCATTCTTCGTTTGTGCTGGCCAGACTCCGTTCTTTTACCTTGACGATCTGGTCTTTGCCACAGCAGACAGGGACGCACTGGCCTCCGTGAAGGCAGGGCTGCTGAAGAGACACACTTGCACTGACCTTGGAGAACTGCGCCGTTACCTTGGCTTGCAGATCTCCAGGGACAGAGCAGCGCGCACCATCACCTTGACTCAGTCACACTTGGTGCACAGCCCACCCCTCTGCCTGTTGACCACAAACTCTCTGCTCCAGTTCCTGAGGAGTCAGTAGAGCCCAGTGGTCCTTACGCTGAGCTGGTGGGTTGCCTCATGTACCTGATGACTTGCACTCGCCCAGATCTCGCATACCCTCTCAGCATCCTGGCTGGCCACAGGTAGACACTGACCGCAGCACTGGTCTGCCGCTAAGAGGGTTTTGCGTTATCTTGCAAGTACATCGGGCATGGGGTTAGTGCTTGGAGGACGCAGGTCAGTGGTCCTTACTGGACACACAGACACTTCTTGGGCAGATGACTCCGAGACACTCAGGTCTTCCCAGGGCTACTGCTTCAGCCTTGGTTCAGGTGCCGTCTCGTGGAGAGCTACCCGCTCCTCGTCTGTTGCCCAGTCCAGCTGTGAGGCCGAGATCTACGCCGGTGCCATGGCGGCACAGGAGCTCCGCTGGCTGACCTTCTTGCTCACTGACTTAGGTGAGCGGCCTAGCTCTGCCCCAGTCCTGTTCGCTGACAACAGGGCCATGATCCTCCAGTGTCAGGAGCCTCGACTCGAGGGCAGAGCGAAGCATATCCAGCTGCGGTACTTCCTCCTGCGCGAGCTACAGAAGCGCCGCCAGGCTCGCGTAGTACACTTGGCCTCTGGTGCCAACACAGCTGATATCTTTACGAAGGTGCTTGCGCCTAAAGATCATCAGCGGCACTGTGTACAGCTCGGTCGAGTTCCTGTAGCCTCTCACTTGCTAGGGCCTTGACTTTGTACTGTCCTATATATCTATACGTAGACTGGACTTGTGTCCTCTCCCAGTGGCTGGACTAGTAGTGCCGCCCTGGTCTTGTTCTTGCCTTGCCTGTACTCCTTTTGACTGGTCTTTAGACCCTTGTCTCAGTGGCTGGACTAGTAGTGCCACCCTGAGCTGCTTGTTCACGACCTGCCCCTATGCAGTCTAGGTGGTGTGTCAAACATGTGCATCTCTAATGTTTGCATAGACTGTATAGGGTCATCTCTTAGAGGGTACAGCACTTAGGTATATTCGCTTGTACTCTCTCCCTACTCTATCATTCATTCAGTTCTAAGACATATGTATAAGTTGACAAGAACACGCTCTTATAATGCCCAGGAGGGTGCTTTGCGACAAGTGCCACTTTCAGGAATGTATTCCTCATCGTAACAAAAATAAACAAATAACACTTATCATGTGCCTTCTCGTGCAGCATAATTACAGTATTCCAGCTGACACATTGCTCCATGCTACTTACTGGTATTCGATGGCAATGCCACACTAGTTCGATGGCATGTCATGACGGGGTGGGATGTCGTGATGGGGTGGAGCGGTGGGGCAGAATGGCATGAGTGCGTGTGTGGGTGTTCCTGCTGTAGACTGCTGCTGTTGCTGCTGCTGAAGCCATGCTGCTGCTGCTGCCGTGTTCCGTCCGCCCTCAGCCGGGTCCCACGCGTCTCCATCATGCGCAGGCCATGCACCCATGGAGGGTCCCCAGGGGCTGCTGGGCTCGTGGGGCTGCCAGCCAAGCATGGACAGTGGAGGCACCACTTGCTGCCAACCGTTGCCGACCTTTTGCCACACCACTCCAGGTGCTTGCCACCCAGGCCATGATTGCCACTGTTGCTGCTGCTGCTGCTGCTGCTGCTGTTGCTGCTGCTGACTTAGTGACTGCTGCGGTGGCTGTGGCGACAAGTGCTCTAGGGTGGGGTGTGAGGGGGACTGTGCACGGGCCGACCTTCCACTCTCACCACTGCTGTCGTCACAGCTGTCGTCACAGCTGTCGTCACTGCTGTCGTCACTGCTGTCGTCACAGCTGTCGTCACTTATGTCGTCACAGCTGTCGTCATAACTCCCCTCATTCCTCCCATCATGATGCTCATCGCTCTCATCATTACTCTCATCATGACTCTCATCGCTCTCATCATTTCTCTCATTGCCACCAGTGGCAACACCATTCCTCCAACCATCACTCCTCTCATCGCCTCTGCTGTCATCGCCTCTGCTGTCATCGCCGTTGTCGTCAAGGCATGCACCACCACCACCATCCACCCCGCCACCACCATCACAACCACCACCTCTCCCACCATCCCCGCCTCTACCCTCTCTTCCACCACCATCAATGCCATCACCATCCCCCCCACACTCCCCCCCACCATCCCCCCCACCATTGCCTTCACCTGAACTCCAGAGCCCGTCCCAGTTGACTCGCCCACTTCCCCTCGCCCCCCCTGCCTCTCTCCCTCCACCTCTGCGCCTCTTCCCTCCCCCCCCTCCCCGCCCGCCATTTCCTTTCCACCCGTCCAGCGGGTCGCGATAAAACGGCGAGTTCAACAGCGCACTCCGCCACACTCTCCCCACCTTCTCCCGCCCCCCCTCACTGCCCCGCCCCCCCTCTCTCCGCAGCTCCCCTTCACTCCTGCCAGGCGAACCCCCTTGCACCGCATACTCCTCCCGCCCCTCCACCCCCTCTTCCACCCCCCTCCCTGCTATTCCTCCCCCTGCCCCCTCCCCCCCTGCAACCGCCCTCCCAGCCATCTCGCCCAGCATGTGCTGCCAGGAGCGCCAGCGCATGCCCTGCCGCATGCGCAGCTGCACGCGCCACCGGTCGCCGTCCACCGCCCGCAGCAGCGCGCGCACGTCCCCCGCCTCTACCCACTGCTCCACGTGCACCCCCGCCTCCTCCAATGACTCCGCTGCCTCTGCTGCTGCCTCCGCTGCTGCCTCTGCTGCCTTGGCTGCTTCGCCTGACCGTATCGCTCGTTGCTTCCCCTTCAACTCTGCCTCTCCTTGCCTCGCCTCACGTGCTGCTCTCTGCTCTGCTACCACGCCCTCACCTGTCCCTTCCGCCTGAGCTTCCCCCCCCCCCACCCCTGCCTGCCTCCCCTTGGCATGCACCGCTCTGTACCGCACTATAGCGCACATGAGCTTCCGGTACCAACCGTACGAGAAGCGGAAGCACGGCAGGACGCCCACCAGGGGCGCGATCCTCCTGGCCACCTCCATAGTCACATCCTTTGTAAGCACGTACTGCACACTGCCATCCCCGCCTGCCCCACCACACCTGCTACCGCCAGCAGCAGCCGCAGCAGACCTGGTGGCCGCTGTAGCAGCAGCAGCGGCGTTGAACCGCGGGGGCCACCAAACCTGCTTCCACCGGATTCTGATGGCCGCCCCCAGGTCCTCTATCCAGCGCGCCACAGCCACCTCCAGCAGCCGGCTGCCCCGCATGCGCGGGCGCTTCAGCACAGACAGCGGCACACAGCAGCGCCCCTCAGCAGCCCCACTGTCGCTGCTCGGCCCCCCCGGCAGCTGCAGCCAGCGGTGCCTCTGAGCCAGAATGGCCATGAGCTCCCCGGGACTCAGGTTCACACTCCAAGCCTGCTTCACCGCCTGCAGAATGGCGGCCTGGCTTAGGTTTGGCCGAGCCTGCACCACGAGGCAGAGCGCGCGCACCCGACTAAGGGTGACGCCCTCCAGCACCCTGCTGGCCATGCGCCCCCCGCCCCGCTTCGCCTGCAGCGGCTGGCATAGGCAGATGAGCCTCTCTGTTCCGCTCCCCAAGCTCTGCTCTCCGCCCGTGGACTGCTCCTCGCAGCCCGGGAGCTGTTGCTGCTCCCACTCCTCCCACTCCTCTGAGCCTGCTGCGGCTCCATCCTCCTCGTCTTCCCCCACTGCTTCTGCCACACAGGAGCCCTGGCGAATGAGGAGGGTCTCGGAGGGCAGCAGGCGGCGGTAGTTGCCGCCCATGCACTTCACCCGCTCCCACGCGAACCAGCTCGACCCGCCCCGCCGCACCACCCCACGCGCCCGCGCCTCCCTCCACGTTTCTCCCTCCCTCTTCAGATACCTGTGCCCGCGGCCCCACCTCTCAGGCGCCCCCGGCACACTGTCTCGCAGCCACAGCTTGCTGCCGTACCCGGCTGTCCCCCTTACAAGCAGCCCCGCGTCCATCACTGCCTCTTCTACCACGTCCCTCTGCGCCTCAAGCACTGTCGCCCGCGCTGCCCGCTCCGCTGCTGCTAGCACTGCAGCGAAGTGCTCGCTGTTTACAGTCACCTCCACCGCTGGCCCTGCCCCCCTGCTTCCGCCCTTGCCCCCCTGTGTCTCGTCCTCCTCACTCCCCTCCTCGCTCTCATCCTCCTCTTCTTCCTCCCTCTCACTTGCACTCAATCCACTCCCCTCACTCTCGACCCTCCCCCACCCCTCTCCACCATCACCACCCCTGCCGCGCCTGCCTCCTTCCCTCTTGCAATCAGCTTGCACCGACCCCTCCCCGTCTCCCTTCCCCTCCTCCGCACCCTCGCACCCCACACCCGTGCCCTCATCCCCACCACCACCCCCCACCTCTCCCGCCCCCCCACCCTCATCCCCAGTCTCCTCCTCAGTCTCACTCCCCTCACCTCCCTCCCAAACCCCTCCCTCCCCTCCCTCTCCCTCCCCTCCTGCACCCTCCCGTACCGCTCCCTGTCCACCCGTGCGCCCCTCGGTGAGCGGCAGCAGAAGCAGCCCATAGCGATCCATAAAACCCCGCACCCACTTCTGTGTGAGGGGCACGTCAGACCCCCGTAAAAGCCCAGGCGCCAGCGCATTCCCCTTCTCCAGAATGCTCGCCCTCGTCACCTCCCTCCTCCCCTCCTCCTCTCGCAGGACCCACGCCGCCACCTCGTCCTCCAGCCTCACCATCGCCTCCCTCCCCGCTGGCACTGCGCCCGCCTTGATCCACCTGCCACTCTCCTGCGCTATCCCCTGCACGCGCTTGGGCACCACATCCACGCCGTATCTGGTGAACACTGCTGCCGCCACGGCCTTGCTGCTCAGGTGTGGCCGCACGCGCGCAAGCACGGCAATGTGGTATTTGATCGTCACGTCCCACGGCCGGTGTGTGGGCTGGCTTGGGAGGTGGAAGTTTGGGTTTCTCTCTTGTGGCGCAATGAACGGGTGAACCCACTTCCCGTCTCCTCCCCCACCTCCACCTACCGTCTCTTCGCCCTCCTCTTCCTCCCCTTCGCCTCCCGATACCTGCCTGCCAATCTCGTTCCCGTGACTATCCAGCCCAGCATACTCCAGCACCGCTCTGCACCACTCCAAGGGGTACAAGAACCGCCGGGGCACCTCGAATTTCTGCCCAATGCGCGCCGCATACTCCCTCACGCGCTTCAAGCTGATGATCCTCCCCGTCACGTTCAGCGCCTCCTCCCTCGCCTTGGTCGCCCGCACCCACCGCGCCATCTGCGCCTCCAGCCCCGCGCACGTGTACCGCTCGCTGCTACGCGTGCCCCACACGCTCCAGCACGTGCCGGCGGCGTGCTGCACGATGGCTGCCACGTGGCACTCCTGGACGTCCGCGCCGAACTGCTGCCTCACCGCTGCCGCGATGTGCACGTCGTCCAGCGCAGGGTGCGCGCGCTTGAGAGCGACAATCTCGCGCTGCGCCAGCGGGCTGATCGCGCTGATGGGGGGAAGGTCTCCGCGCGCACCGGGGGCGCCAATGCCTGCGCCAGTGGCGAGCCCCCGCCGCCTCTTGCGCGGGCGGCCTTCCGGCGCGTGGGCGAGATGGGCGGCAGTTGGGGCGGGGGAGGGGGCATCACTGGGTGGGTCGCTGGGAGGAGGCGGCTGCTGCGATGGCAGGGCGGATGGATGGCATGCGGTAACCCGGTAACTTTGATATGCATTGGAGGCGGGAGCAGAGGCACGAGGAGTGTTGCGAGGAGGGGCCACGTGGAAAGGGGCTGGGGAGATAGCGGGAGTGGGAGGGGCGGGAGTAGTTGTGCAAGGGGAGGTCACGACGGCTTGAACGCCGTGCGACGGGCGGCCGCGCTGCTGTTGCTGCCCGCTCACGATCGCGTCGCTTCGCGCCGCTGGCATCCGCTGCATGCGCGCCCGCTTCGCGCCCCTGGTGCTCATTGCCCGCCACGCCGCTGCGAGGGCGCACCGGAGAGCGACCTCGCGTTGCGTGCGAGAGGTCGGCGCAGCCAAGCTCCCGTGCTCGGCGAAGTGAAGCCAGGTGCACCCGGATGAAGTTGCGCTGCGCTCTGAGGAGGAAGAAACGCTAGCGCCACTCGGTGACGACCGAAGAACGGCTCGTCGGTCGTCAGTCTTCAGGGGTGAAACACTAGCGATACTCCGTGCATACTTAGGCTGCTGACTCGAATTGGCCTTGCCTGGAAAGTTAACTCTAACGCTCTTAGGCAACGATGGTGTCACAAGGAAGGCCGGTCTGTCGGCTGAGTCCCGCCGTCCTAGACGTGCACACAGCTAGCGAAGCGAGGTGACGAAGCACGGGAAGCAGTAGTACAGGCCGCCAAAGCGAAGGGGGAAGAGCCAAATTTCGTGGAGTGTAATTTGCGTGGGTTTTCGTTCTATTTGATCTCATTGAGGCCGTTTTGACGCGGATAACGAAGCTAGCGCCCCTAGCGAAAAGATTCATGAAAATCGAGCGAGTTCAGTTGCAAGTAGGGTGTTGAAACAGATGCGTGCCTGTTATGAATGAACAAGCAAAGTAGCGCGGAAATGAATAACGAAGTGTTCAATCACTGAATGACGATACAAAGGAATGGCAAGCCAATATATAGGAACACCTGAGCTAGTTTAACCATGAGATGTGAAGGTTCGGGAAAGAGATCTAAGGGTTTCGAATTGACGAACCGAGGCCCGGAGAATTCCCGAAGGTCGAACTAGAAGGTCTGGAGTGTTGTGATATAGTTCATACTTGGCATTTATGTAAGTCGATTATCGGTAGATAGTGTCGAATCCCACTGTAGAATATAAGTCCGTAGGATGACGTCAGCAAATAGCGCTCGTCATGAGGACAGTCGTTTCAGTCACGCGAACAGTTGCATCTTTTCATTATCATCTAGGGCGCATAGCGTGATAGTGACGAACAGATACATTAGCGAATAGGTACTTTTCTAGAGCTATAAATCCTTGTTATGTCTTTTTATTGTTAACCTTGAGATTTCAACATTGAGACTTTCACCTTGACTTCCACAGAATTATATGCTCAGGTTCACTCTTACAAGATTTCCGCTGTCTTACTAGTCTACCATTCCTGTAAAGATCCTATGCTAACACTTGAGGTTTTCCAAATGTTCGTGTTTGCAGATTTTCTTAGTCTCCTGCAACACCTGTCAAATTATTTTATGGTACGAGAGCTGTCTGGAATTAAGACTACTGTCAACAATGACTGGATCGTCACCAACACTATCTACCGGATCTAGTTCTGGAACTACTGGAGTACCTGTCTCCACGACCGCCACTGGTCTCTCAGCCTCTTGACCGTTTCCACCAGCTTATGCGCACGTCGGTATGCAGCAGCAAAATCCGACTTCCGTCAGTACTCCAGGGATGTCATCGACTGCCCCTGCAGCGCAACAACATCAAACGCAGGCAACAGCACAACATCAGACAACAGCACAACAACAAGCAACAGCACAGCAATTTTCAACTCAATCAATATCGTAAGCGTTTAGTGGAATGAGCCTTGACGGCTCAAGTTACATGCGTGGAGCTTCAGCTTCAAGTATCGGCTCATTCGCGTTCTCACCTTTTACGCAGCAGCCGCAGTCGCAGCAGCAGCAGCCCTTTTACATATTCGTGAGATCACCTGCTCAGCAGCAACAACAGCAACAGCAACAACAACATCAGCAATAACACCAACAGCAGCAACAACAGCAGCATCCACAGCAATTCCAGCAACAACAGCAACAGCAACAACCTCAACAACATGGTATTATTTTTCAACCACCAAATTTACTTAACATCACGCAGATCAAGACTACTATACCTTTTAACGGAGTTGATTTTTACTCCTGGAGCTTGGAGTTAGAACTTCTGGCGCAATCTTCCGGGCTATGGCAATTCTGTCAGAAACCCAGTCACTAACCACTGGGTTAAAAGGGCTTGTTAAATAGCGGGTAAGTGCGCCCATAACCCCCCAGGCTCTGCACCTGTGGCCCTTCTCCGAGGATCTTTTTAAGGGTAACCCAGCGGGTCACTCGACACATTCTTCACCTGCGAGTTCACGTATCCTGTTGTGGGAACATAACTGGAGCAGCAGAGTTTCTTGCACGCCTCTCTCGGGGCGTATACGGTTCTTGTTCGAAACTTATCGCCAAAGGAGCAGCTCGGTGTCCGATCCTTTCATTCAAGCTTTACGACAGCCGAAACTGCATGGAACCATTTAAAAGGGGTGTACATGGCAAAGGATACAATCACAGTGAGTAAGATTCTTTCGCAACTGACAAATGTGCAGATGATGACAAACGAGAATGTCATGGATTATGTCAATCGTGTCCGCACACTACGAGATCACCTGGAGAAGCGTGGTGGATACTTCCCTCGTGAGATGTATCTTACGGTCCTTCTTGCTGGACTTGGTCCCGAGTGGCGACAGACGCGGGTCTTCTTGCGCATAAACCCAAACCTCTCCGAAGCTGAGATTTCCTCGTACCTTCAAGCAGAACAGCAAGATCTCGACCTGCAGTCACAACGCAATCAGAAAAAGGGGATACACTTGAGTTTTTACTCAAATCCAGAGCCTCAGCAACGACTTCCCCCGAAATATCCCTTCTGTCATTTCTGCAAGAAACCAGGACATACTTACCAAACTTGTCGCAGTCGACATCAAAACCGTCGCAATACTTCACAACCATATCATCGTTCGCAGCAGTTACCGAAGTCACATCCGCCAAAGCAGCAGTCGACGTCCCAGATGCAGCAGATGCAGAAACCACCGCAGAATACACCTTCATCACAGCACCGTCCTCCGGTTTTTCCATCTGCAACATGAGGAAAAGGAGTTTTTGGATGTGTTACGGCAGTTGATGTTTCAGATACAGATTTTGAGACACAACTTGAAGAAACCACCAGTGCAGAGGACATTATCTTACCGCAAGTTTACGCTAACCTTGCTCGATTAATTTCAGGACCCAATACTTGGTATCTCGACAGCTGTTGTGGTTGGCATATGTGCTCCGCTAAAACAAGCTTCATCACCAATCAGCGTCCACTTCGTCGTCCGATACCTGTAACAGTTGCAAACGGACAAACTATGATGGCCAGATCAATCGGGAGTGTAATGCCCGAGTCCGTCGACACGGGATATTCCTTACATGTTACCAACGTTCTTATCATCGCCGGCCTTGGTTTCAATCTTCTCTCCACAGCTCAGCTCCTGGCACACAAGATTCGCACACAAGGCAGTTGTGATAGAATGGATCAGGAGTTATGGCACAGTTTGACAAACACTTACCTCGGTCGCGCTGCTACTGAACATGGTGTATCCGTTCTTCAGTTCACGGCACAGGGCACCTCGGTCCCTGGGATCATCCAGAAGAAACAGATTATCAACAAGTTGATATTGATTTTCGTGCAACTACTGTACCAACAACTTCTTGAACCGCAGCTTCCGTTCTTACCGCTCTTGATACTTGGGAGTTCAATAAAGCCGATGAAGGCGCCAACGCTTGGCGAACCTTCTATAATACCCGTGCCGCCTTCCAAGGAACTCCAGCTCCACTTTGGGGCGAAATCAGTGGACTTGCAGCTGATGAACCAGAAGTCGTCAAGGAAGCCGTGAAAGAAGAAGTCGTCGAGCAGCCCAGTCATCCAGAATCTGTCACAAGACCATCTGCTCACACATCAACAGAAGTCGTATCAGATATTGCAATCGCAACTGCAGCAGAACCTTCAAACGTTCCGCTACCACTTACCCGTTTCGTCGAAGGGGAGATCGACATGTCTCCAGCTCTTTCTCCTTTCATCATTTCTTCATTTTATACTAACGCCAATTTTTATCTGCGATCATCAGGACACAAAGCCATAGAAGAAATTTGGCATGAACGGTTAGGACACTCATCGTAAGGGATTCTTCATTCAATACGAGCAGCATTTCCTGATAAAAACAGTCTTTTCTTACATGACGGCACGGAGATGCAACCGCAGTCTCGCCCAACGGTTTGCACCACGTGTCCAGTCGCCAATCTTACTCACGACCCGTTTCCGAGTCATTTTCCTGGCTCCACTCGTTACAAACTAATGCAGAAAGTTTACAGTGATATTCTCAACTTACCGGAAGCAGGACCTAAAGAAGAGCAGTACGTGATTACCTTCATCGAAGCATCTACTCGCTACGTTTGGACAGCCAACTTTCCTGCTCGACATCTCGCTCATTCAGTCTTCGTCGCATGGCTCGTCGTCGCTGAAAGTGAGTCTGGAGCAAAGCTGCAAGAATTCCAGAGTGATGGAGCAAGGAAGTACACGAGCAACGCTTTCACAGACTACCTCCAAACCCTCGGCATCAAACGGAAGCAGTCTTTGCCACATGCACACCAACAGATGGGGATAGCAGAACGGATGAAGCGAACTCTGCAGGAGAAGATGCGTGCTCTGCTGACGCAGGCAACTCTTCCTCCTCGTTTTTGGCCTTATGAGATGGACCACGCCATGCTGTTATACAACCTGCTGTCTTCCACATCAGTGCCCTAGTTTTCTTCACCTCTTCTGCAGTGGACATGTACAGTGGGAAGTACAAAACTTTTACGAGTTTTTGGGTGTGTCGTGCAGTATCGACCTCCAACTGCAGCACTCGGCAAATTTTCAGAACGAGCAAAATGGGGGGTACACCTCGGCATCGAAAAACAGTATCACGCATGGAAGTTTTTTTTATCTTCGATCACACCAAATCGTGCCTTCACGTGATTGTCTCTTACATGAGCGACTCACCTTGCCCATTTTTCGTGCCCACCAGGCAGCAGCTGCCAACCCCGCCAGGCTGTTCGAAGGCTCGCGTGCATTTGCAACTGACGAAGCCGAAGCTGATGTACAAGTCGAAGCAGTTTCTGAAGCCTCCAAAGCTACCGCAATAGACATTCCCGAACCTGTTACGTCGTCTGGCATCCCAGAATTTATTCCCCTTGCTGATGCTGACCTGGACGACGTTCGCGCAGTCCACCTCAGTTACGAACGCGATCGTCAACAGCAGCCGATGCCAGCCGTTTTCGACGAAGCAGTTCATGTTACACCTGACGAAATTGGGGGGGAAGAAGGGTCAAAAGAAAATTTCGCAGGTGCAAACGAAGAACGTCCGCGTTTTACAGAAACCGGCTTACAGATACTTGGATGCACAGTCGCAGTACAGTACAACGACAGTAAAATACCTGAACCGAAAACTGTTTGACAAGCTCTTACGAGTCCTCACCGAGAAAAATGGCGCGAAGCCATGGACAGAGAGCTAGCAGCTCTCAAGAGTCGCGGCA